AAAATGTTAAAAAAAATTACGGGTAACAAAACTTGTAAGCGTAAAAATTTAAGTAGGCCTTTTCAGAGCCTATCTGGCAGAGGTGTTTTGCATTGTATTCAGCGTTGTTTAAAAGATAAAACATTTATAACTTAATTAATTACTTGATAAAAATTATAATAATCTCTTAAAATTAATGATAATAATATGTATCCTAGCTGATAATAATAATAATAATAATTTCTGAATAAATCATTTTTGCAACCCTATAAACTGTATATTAGATATTTTTTCCCTTTCCCACCCACCGCCTACATTCCACCGGATGTCTATTGTTCGTATCTATCTTTTAAGGAAAAACCAAAGTTGGCGCCTAGTCTGGAAGCCTATTACCGGTCATGTACTGATTTTGAAAATCGCGATAAGGGCGTGACCAAAGGGATGAACGTGTCTAGACACGCTTCTACGCAATACCCCCTGGGGGTCGGAGGGGGGATATACCTGCACGTGCACGTCCATTTCCTGGAAAAAAGGGGGGAGGGAGCGTGGGAAATTCCCCAATACTGGCCACTTACTACTAACGTGGAAGTGATTGTATTACGTGGTTCATAGATGAATTAACGAAAATCGGGGTGCTGGTAAATGATAAACTAAGAACGATTGTACCAATGGAGCCGCTCACGTGCGAGCAGTCCCTGGAATTCTCAGCTGCCTCAGTGTGTCATATATGTGAGGAGCCATTCATTTTGACTGACGTTAAACATCGAGATCATTGCCACTTCACAGGTAAATGTCGTGGAGCTGCGCATGCCGGATGCAATGTAAACTACAAAAATTCACATGAAATACCAGTGAATTTTCACAATCTTACGGGGTATGATGCTTATTTTATGATTGTGGATTTGGTGAAGGAGTTCAATGGATCTGTCGAGTTGCTGCCTCTAACAAAAAAAAGTACACTTCATTCAAGAAATCTATTCCACAAATCAAAGTCAACCTAAGATTTATTGATTCATTTAGATTTATGGCTAGTACCCTGGAAAAATTGGCCTCCTACTTGACTGATGAAGACAAGTCAATTACATGAGCTCATTGCAACGCTGAGGACTTCCATTTATTAATGCGGAAAGGTGTATTTCCATATGAATATTTGGATAATTGGGATAAATTCAATGATGGAAAATTACCATCGAGGGCAGCTTTTTATTCCACACTGAACAATCAAGAAATTTCAGAGGAAGATTATGCCCATGCGCAGGAAGTTTAGAAGAAATTTAGTATCACAACACTTGGAGAATATTCCGATCTCTACTTGACAACTGATGTTCTCCTCTTGGCCGACATTTTTGAGAAATTCCGAAAAAGTTGTTTCTCAGTCTACAAACTCGACCCACTGCACTACTACACAGCACCTGGACTGGCATTTGATGCAATGCTCAACTGCACTAGAGTGGAAATCGAACTTTTTACAGACGCTGATAGGCTCTTATTCATTTAAAAAGGGATCCGAGGTGGTGTAGCTAAATGCACAAATCGCTATGCTCATGCCAATAATCGATATATGGGTGATAATTATAATCCAAACAAAGAGGAGTCCTATCTCATGTACTCTGATGTCAATAATTTATATCGAGCAGCTATTAGTCAGTACTTGCCCTTGGGTGTTTTTGAGTGGGAAAATGTTAATGGATTCAATGTCCTCAATATTCCTGAAGATTCACAGATTGGATTTAGTTTGGAGGTAGACTTGGAGTATCCTAAAGAGCTGCATGGTGTACACAAGGACTTGCCACTATGTCCCTAGCATTTTATTCCACCGAATCGCAAAAATACCGAGCTCATGACAACACTCTACCGTACAAAATACTATATAATTCATTATCGGAATTTGAAGCAATGTCTGAGTCTTGGTATGCGAATAACGACAATCCACGGAATCTTAAAACTCAAGCAAGCAGCATGGCTCAAGCGTACATCGATTTGAATACAGAGATGCGGACAAAATCGACAAATGAATTCGAAAAGAATTTTTTCAAATTAATGAACACTGCAGTGTTTGGGAAAACAATGGAAAATGTGAGAAAGCACAGAGATGTCAAGTTAATTACGAAGTGGCATGGAAGATATGTTACGAGAGCTTACATTGCCCAACCAAATTTCCACAGCAGACTAATTTTCGATGATAATCTGGTGATCATTGAGCTGCAACGAGTTCAAATCCAGTCCTATAAACCAGGGCCCGGCAACCTTCAGGTAGTCGGGAGCCAGCCTATTACAAGGGTCGGGATAATCCTCTCATCCTAATATGTACCCAATTAGCCAACCATTGTGTGCGAGTAAGTCCCAGTG